CCAATAAAATTTATGGTTAACTGCAGTGTAACAAGTTGAAAAGAAAGCAAGAAAGCTGGTGATCCTTAAATATGAACACCCTCTGTCTTCCATCAAGCCGGCGTTCATCCATGGGTGTGGTCCCACTCCCTTTCCATATCTGCTTAGTTTTCATCTCTGCGCATCTCCTCATAGACTATTGTCATTACTGGTATTGCAGGATTGTATATCTAACCATATTTACTGCTCCTGTTTCCACTCTTTTGTTAAGGCAGGAGAGGTAAATACTATTACTATTCCCAGGGTCTTCGTTTGCCTGGATCATTTTGTCCTGACGCTTCCTTTTTGCCTATTGCCTTTCCCTTCTGTGGTAGTTACATAATTTCATGTCAACGTGAAGATCTGTGAAAGCATTGGGGCGGTATTCACCACCATTATGTAACTCCAGAACATTCTCATCACTCCAAAAGGAAGCTCAGTACCCATTAAACAGCCACTGCCCATTTCACTGCCCAGTTCCAAGAACCACTAACCTACTTTCTGTCGCTATCGATTTGTCTGCTACGGAGATGTCATATACACGGTATCACATAATGTGGCCATCTGCGGCTGTCTGGTATCTGTCATGTAGCATATATTTTGAAGGTTCACTCACGTGGTTGCATGTATCAGCATCTTATTCTTTTGTATGGGTGAATAATATTCGATTGAACGGATATACCATACTTTATCAGTTCATGGATTGATGGATATTGGGGTTGTTTCCACCATTTGGAGATTATGAATAATGCTGCTATGAACATTTGCATGAGTTTTTTGTGTGAACTTACGGTTTCTTTTGTGTATATAGCAAGGAATGGAATTATTGGGTCATATGTTAACTCTGTATCTAACTTTCAGAGAAACTACCACATTGCTTTCCAGAGCTCTTGTGTCCTTTGACACTCCCACCAGAAATGGGTGTGCGAGGGTGCCAATGCCTCTTACATCCTGGATAGCCGTAGGTGTTGGGTTTGGGGGATGATGGCTATCCTAATGTTGTACAGTATTCCCTTTGTTCTGTTGGCACAAGGGGATACCACATGTTTTAAAATCAGGAAAGGCGTACATCAGGGTTGTATCCTCTCACCATACTTGTTCAATTTGTACACTGACCAAATAATCAGAGAAGCTGGCTTATATGAAGAAGAATGTGGTATCGGGATTGACGGAAGGCTTATTAACAACCTGTGGTATGCAGATGATATAACCCGCTTGCTGAAAGTGAGGGATACTTGAAATACTTGTTGAAGAAGATCAAGGATTGCAGCCTTCAGTATGGATTACAACTCAACGTAAATGTGTTAGTCTGGGTAGACTAGAGAAACATCCAGGGAGACTCATGTATGTATAAGAAAAAACTTTATATCAACAAGCAATTGTGCATTAAGAAAACATCCCAGCCCAGTCCAGATCAAGTCCATAAGTCCTAGATAATCTAGATATTCTTCTCAGCAATGATGCTGAATTCTGAAAGATCACAGGCCAGTGGATAGAAAGTCTTGTGGATCCATTGGCAGTGTAAGCATCTCAGTGCTGGCAGAGAGAGGTCTCTATGTGGCTCCTCCAGTTCCGGGGCTCTTGCGTAGCTCCATGTGTCTTGTCAGCCCAAACATCTCCCTAGGAGTAAGCCTGTGTCCCACCTCCAGCGAGCTATTTTTCTCCTTAGTGCCTCCAAATGAGGTCATCAAGCTGCGACCTCATTGACAGGCTAAACTCCACCCCTTCATTCTTAATACTCTCAGATTGACAACAGATTATGTAACTACCACATTAACGAAGACCCAAATCCTTAAAACTATACCAATAGGTAACATCACGATAAATGGAGAAAAGATTGAAGTTGTCAAAGATTTTGTCTTCCTTAGATCCACAATCAATGCTCATGGAAACAGCAGTCAAGAAATCAAAAGACGAGATGCATTAGGTAAATCTGCACAAGATCTTTTTAGAGTATTGAAAAGCAAGAATTTAATTTGAGGACTAAAGTGTACCTGACCCAAGCCATGATAACTTTCAACTGCTTCATATGCATGTGAAAGTTGGACATTGAATAAGGAAGAACGTAGAAGATTCAATGCATTTGCATCGTGGTGCCAGAGAAGAATATTGAAAGGACCATAGACTGCAAAGTACAACAGCCAGAGTGCTCCTTGGAGGCAAGGATGGCAAGACTTTGTCTTACATACTTTGGGCTTATGTACTTGCACATTGTCAGGAGAATCAATCCCTTGAGAAAGACATCACGTTTGGTAAAGTGGAGGGGCAGCAAAGGAGAGGAAGGCCCTCAAGGAGATGGATGGACACTGTGGCTGCAAGTGTGGGTTCAGGTATAGGAACAAGTGTAAGGATGGTGTGTTTCAGGGTCACTATGGGTCAGAGCTGACTCGATGGTATTTAACAATAACAGCTGTGTTACTCTCTGGTAATGTTAGGCTGGTGACTACCAGCTTGGTGGTTAAAACCCACCAATCAGATCCCCTTGCAGAGGGGTCTCGGGGAGGAGATGAGCCAGTCAGGGTGTGATGTAACAACGATGAGAAATACAACTTCCTCTAATTCCTAAATGTTTCCTCCCCGCTCCCACTACCATGACTCGAATTCAGCCTTGCAAGTCTGGCTAGACCAGAGGATATACACTGGTACAGATAGGAACTGAAAATACAGGGAATCCAGGGCGGATGAGCCCTACAGGACCAGTGGTGTGAGTGGCGAAACAGGGAGGGTAAAGGGAGAGTGGGTAGGAAAGAGGGAACCGATTACAAGGAACTATATGTGACCTCCTCCCTGGGGGACGGACAACAGAAAAGTGGGTGAAGGGAGACGTTGGACAGGGCAAGATATGACAAAATACCAATTTATGAACTATCAAGGGCTCATGTGGGAGGGGGGAGTGGGGAGGGAGGGGAAAAATGAGGACCTAATGCCGGGGGTTTAAGTGGAGAGAAAATGTTTTGAGAATGATGTACAAATGCGCTTTACACAGTTGATGTGTGTATGGATTGCGATAACAGTTGTATGAGCCCCTAATAAAATGTTTTAAAAAAAACCCACCAATCATTCCATGGGAGAAAAATGAGGCTATCTGATCCTGTAAAGACGTACAGCCTTGCAAACCCGTTTTAGGGTCATTATGGGTTGAAATCGGCTGTGTGGCGGTGGGTTGGAATTGAAGACCTCTATTGGCTGTGGAACAAACATTGGCTGTTAACCATAGGATCGGTGACTCAAATTCTTCTGGGGAAAGATGACGCTGCCTTCTCGTAAGATTTACAGTCATGGAAATCCTATATGGGTTTGCTATGAGTTGGAATCTACTTCTTGGCAGTTCTTTTAAATAGAAAATCTCATTGATGACCGTTCTACGCTGAAGTTCATGGGTCCTCATGAGTCAGAATTTACTACTTTGGCAAAGAGTTTTTTTCTGGTTAGCATGTGTGAAGTGGCATTTCATTGCATGTTCGATTTGCATGTCCCTGATGACTTAGTGATGTTCAACACCTTTTGAAATTCAGAGTTGGTCGACTTGCTCAATGCCAGGAGGTAGTAGGGTCTGAAACTTGGTTGTGTTGGCTTCCGGACTCAGGCCATTCTCCGCTGCCCAGCGGGCCGAATTAATGGTAAAAATAAGTCTTGCCTGGGTGGCTGGAGACTAGTCTTGTCAACCTTGGTTGGACAAGCCCTTTGCACGGCTCCGGCCATAAGGGGGCGCTATGCAACAATGATCTCCGGGCTCGTCTAGGAATTCGTAACTCTATGGTCAGTTGCCCGGACGCGGAGTTTGCCTGGACTTCTTTAACGCAGGTGGCCGCCGGCGGCGCCGGAAGCGCTTGATTCTTTTTGTTAGTTCCCGCCCTCAGCCCGGAAGTGCTTTCTCTGGAAGATGGCAGCTGTGTCGGTGTATGAGCGGCCGGTTGGAGGCTTTTCTTTTGAAAACTGCCGCAGGTGCGGGCTTGCGCGGGGCGGGACAGGGCCGGAGTGGGGGTCCAGAGCCCGGGTTAGCGCGGGCTGCGGACTCAGTTGGGAAGTCTAACAGTGCGATGGACACGCGGCGCCGGTGGCTCGCGGGTTGTGTGACTCAGGGGAATGGGCCTGAACGTGCGTTTCTCGTGTGGCCTCTTTAGGCGAATCGCAGCCTTTCTCTGGGGCACTTTAAACAACAACAGTTAGAAGGCCGCGGACGATACCCCAAATTTCAGAAGGTTCAGTAACTAAGATGGGCGTGAGAGCAAATCGTTTTTCTGAGACCCCCTCCAAGAAATGCTACTCATGCCCGCCGCTCGGTCCTGCTCGTCAGCACTTTATTCTCTTGCCCTCAGGAATGCCGTTTTGGAAGCCGAGTTTACGAAGAAGGGTTACAAGCTTCCAGCAGCCCGGAAAACAGGCACGACCATCGCGGGGGTGGTCTACAAGGTAAGCTGGGACAGAAAGGACTGGGTTGGCAACAGGAACTAGACTGCTCAGTCTCATGCGCCTCGCCCTGTCCTTAGCTGATTTCCCAGGTTCATTAGAATAAGGCCCGTTAGGAGCAATTGCGTTTGTCCGGAGATTCTGCGACTGGGTTCGTATTCTCTCTCATTTTAGAGTTATTGGTAGGAGGGTGTTTTAGTTACCGCTGTAGGAAGCAGTATGATCTAATGAGAGAGAACAGAACATTGGGGGTTAGATAATTTCTTTAGCTAATGTGCTGCTTCCAACTTTGGGCAGGTAGTGCCTTCTCATAGGCACCTTGTCCTCACTAAGCAAATGGAATTAACAACTCATGCTTTAAATTGTTGTAAAAGTAAAAAAAGAGAATGATTACTGTCGTTCCAGGTAGCACATACTTCAAAAAGATATCAATAGAGGTGGCTCTTTTAATGGAACCATTTCTGGGTCTTCCTCCAGATTTTCTCTAGATTAGCTTGGTGATTTAAAAGGAATTTACCGTATCTCTCAGCCTCATTTTAAAAAATGAGGCTGGACATGACTATTATTTACTTAGGCTTCAACTAATAAACTTTTTCTTGAACTCTAAAAATGTAGCAACGTATTTTTAGTAGGAGAAATGTTTGGGGATGTGCGGTTAGAGGAGCAGGGAATGATCAACATCGTTATTTTTCCTAAACTAAAGAGCTGTGGTTTATATGTCTAAAATGGTTTCAAACCTTTTAAAAATTTCTTGTTTTAATAGGATGGCATAGTTCTGGGAGCAGATACAAGGGCGACTGAAGGAATGGTGGTTGCTGACAAGAACTGTTCAAAAATACACTTCATATCTCCTAACATTTAGTAAGTGTTGATTACTTTGAATAGCTCAAGTGTTTTCAAATATCTTTGAAACCATTGAGTTGATCACAACTCCTAGTGACCTTATGTTACAGAGTAGAACTGTCTTGCAGGGTTGTCTTGATCTACTCGTTAAGTAAGTAAAAACCTAATAGTGCTGAAATTGAACTTCCTACCTTATTTACTGAAACTTAATATTCATCCTGTGTTTGCTTTTTCTCCTTGAAATTTCCATCTACATGATCACCTAAGCTTGGCATCCTCAAGTCCTCTACTGTAGGCTTAATTCAACTAGTGGCTTACCTCCTTGAATCCAATTCCTCCTATTCCGTCTACTGGTAAAGCCTTAGTTCAGCAATCCCCAAACAGTCACCAGAACTCACCGCCATTGAGTCGATTTCAACCTCTGACAACCCTTATAGGCGAAGGTAGAACTGTCCCTATGGGTTTCTGAGACTAAATTTTTACAGGAGTGGAAAGCCCCGTGGAAAATAGCTGATGATTCTGAACTGCTGATCTTGCCTTTAGCGTCCCACTGGGTAACCATTACGCCACCAGAGTCATAATTGTCATTCAATTGTCTCTCTTGGTCTCTTCTCCCTTTTATTTTTATTGTACAATTCTCTGCCATACTAAATTCTATAAACTACAGATCTGATTATGCCCCTCATGTCTTTTAAAAACTTTTCAAGAGACTATTTTTCCATCCTGCTTTCTGAATAAAGTAAAACAATGCAGCATGGCATTTGAGGCCATGTGCAATCTTGCTCAGCTTGCCTTTTTACTCTGTTTCACAAGGATGCTCATTGCATGTGACAGACCTTTGGTATAGCACATTGTCCCAGCATTTTCTACTTTGGCTTGTGCCAAGAGCAGAGCGCCAGGTCTTTTCCACGTGGAGCTGCTGGGGGGGTTCAAGCCGCCAATGTCTGGGCCAACCGCTGAATGCTTAACTGTTGTGCCATCAGGCTCCATTAAGCTCCATAAGATTTCAAGGGATAAACTGTAAAATTTGGATTCACTTCTAGGATTAGTAAGAAGCATGCTTTGTTAGGAGCATAGAAATGAATGATTTGAAATGGTCTCGGAGCCACGAAGAATGTACCTTGTTATAGCTAGATGAGTAACTTCATTTTAATACTTATTGTAAAATTGTTTACTATGGCTAACAGTCCCTTAAAGCATTGTTGTGTACCTGAGCTTCATGGGAGTTAGCCCCGAAGCTCCAATTCTAATTGTGCTTTATGGTAGGTAGAATTTCAAATGATTTTATTTTTCTTCAGTTGTTGTGGTGCTGGCACGGCCGCAGACACAGACATGACAACCCAGCTCATTTCTTCCAACCTGGAGCTCCACTCCCTTTCCACCGGCCGCCTTCCCAGAGTGGTGACAGCCAATCGCATGTTGAAGCAAATGCTGTTCAGGTA